CAACACAGCTTTTTAAACCCTAGATCTGAGAATGGACCATTCTCAAAAGAGACTCAGAAATAAGAGATCGATGAATAGGGCTATACCCAAAGTAGAATAATACAGAGACTACCTCCTCAATGTTCAAAGAAGCCAGGTAATGGGAAAATGCAGCCTAAACAACCCCCTACAAACTCATCTGAAAGAGTTGAATTTCATAAAAAACTGGCCAAAGTACATTACCATGGTTTTTAGTACAATGTGCATTACATACATTTTTGCCACTTGCCCCCTTGTCCCAGCCCACCCCTAGGTAATTTTGTAAGCTATGCTAATTTCATTACCACACATTTTAAAAATTAGCCTAGCATGCTAACAAAATTTCATGGGGAGTGGTTGGCATAACTGTTTATCACAAATTGTGTAAAAATATGGTAATAGGCAGTTTTAGAAAAAGAAATAATGCATAAAAAGATAGTCACCCTCCCTGCTAATGAAATGCAAATTAAAACTAAAGTAGCATATAAAGTTTTGCCCATTAGATTGGTCAAAATGTTTAAAGTTTAAAATGATGTGGGAAAGCAATACTTTAACACTGTGTTTCCATGGTATCCGTCAGGTTTTCAGTGACGAATTTCTCTGAAGTGGACAGCCTATTATTCCTATTCTTCATAGAAGGTTCTCAGTCTGGAAGCTCAGTTGGAACCTGTTCACTTAGGGTGACCCTGCTGGTATTTGAAATACCAGGGACATGGTTTCCAGCATCACCTATGCCACCATAGTATGACAGACTCACAAGACAAGTCAAGTTGTGATTGTCTTCAAGCACAACATATGCATGTCAATGTTGAACAATGAATAGGGAAAATCAAAGAAGAATCATAGATATTTGAATTATGGGGCTGGTGAAGACTATTGAAAGTACAATGGCCTGCCTGAAGAGAAAGAAAATCTGCCTCAGAAAAGTACAGCCGGAATGCTCCTTAGAGACCAGGATGGTGAGACTTCCTTTCATGTATTTTGGACATGGTATCAGGAACGATCATTT